TCTGTATGAAGCATGTGGCTGCATGGCAGTAATATGAAGATTTCATCCCTTAACAAGTCCAGCTGCAAAGGCACTACTTCTGGGATTTTTATTAGTAAATTCTTCAAATCAATGGTCCTCATCCTTCCCATCGTAAGAGCCATACTGATTGAACTCAGATAGTCCAAAGGAAATGTGTCAATAGTCTGCAAATTGTTTTAAGATCGCACTCATCCATGGAACAAAAATTTATGCTAGAGATTGAAAGTGGCCCCCCATGGATCACTGAATATAATCCTTAGATAAATGTTGTTTGGAGTTGATTCCAACTCATGACAACCCCCTGTGTGTCAAAGTAGAACTGTGCTCCATGGGGTTTTTCAGTGGCTGATTTTTCAGAATTAGATTACCCGGCCATTCTTCCAGGCTGCCTGTGATGGGACTTGACTCTCCAACCTTTGCATTACCAACTTGCACCACCTAGGTACTCCTTGGCCCATATATTTAAAAAAGAAAATATATTAAACTCATGCCATTGAGTCAATCCTGACTCACAGTGACCTCCATTGGATTTCCAAGGCTGTAAATTTTACCACCTCATCTTTCCTCCACAGAGTAGCTGATGGGTTTGAACCACTTTTGGTTAGCAGTCAAATGTCTTACCATTACACCACCACAACTCCTTCTTGGCCCATACAGTATTCTTAAATGTTTAAAATACTTACCAATATTTAAAAAGTGAACTCTTGCATAAAAATCCAAATTTCCAGCTTCTCTCTGGAAATTAGAAACTCTAGTAACAGGAGGTTGCATTCTGTTAATGCAAGTTCCAGCTGGAGCTGAAAGAGTAACTTGAGAACAGGTACCCACTATCCAGTCCCCCTTGCCCTCACTCAACCTTCTTTCCAGGTATCTGAAGTGGTAACACCTATTTATGGGGGACTACATCTGACCCTTCAAATTATTGATCCTCTACCAGGGATTCTACAGAATCTGAGCAAATACGAATCCATATATTTAGATCAAGGATTCAACTGGGAAATGGAGATAAGCAGGAAAGTTGGGGTTTTTTCTTCATTTCTTTATTAGAAAGTCATATAGTTCCACTGTTCCTGCTGGAAGGGGAAAATGAGCTTAACCTGCTGTTATTTGTAAAGTAATAGCATATTCAGCCTGTAACACCTAAACAGGAGGTAAATAAATAAGGATGTTTTAAGTTGGCCTCCCAACAGTCAGAGTTGGCCTCAACAGCCACTGTTGAGAATTCAAGGTGCCACAACCCATAGACAAACTTTGCACCACCATAAATTATCAAAGATGTGTCATGCATCAGATCTGACACAATAACTTTAACATACACCATCAAGAATAATGAATAAATAAAACCCACTACCATGCGTCAATTCCAGATCAACTGACCCTATAGGACAGAGTAGAACCGCCTCAGAGTTTCCAACACAGTAAAGCTTTACAGAAGCAGACTGCTGCATCTTTCTTAGGGAGCTATTGATGGGTTCAAACTATGGACCATTTCAGTTAGCAGCCAGGCACTTTGACCACCGTACCATCAAGGCTCCTTAAGAATAATGAAAGGTTCCTTAAAGTTCTAGAAAAATGCATTTATTCCTCCTTATTGACAGAACAAGAAAATCTTAATACCGTGTTGTTGTTGTTGTTGTTGTTGTTGTTATGTGCCGTCGAGTCGGCCCCGACTCATAGCGACCCCTTCTTGGGTTTCCGAGGCAGTTTCACTACGGAAGTAGGATTGCCCAACCTTCCTTCCGAGGAGTGGCTGGTGGATTTGAACCGCCAGCCGTCTGGTTAGCAGGCAAGTGTCTTCAGAAATAAAGAATATGTTGTACTCCAATTTCAACATATGTAAAAGCTAAAAAAAAGTTTAAACTAGTATGAAATAAAATTCATCACTGTTTTAATCACTGTTAGAATCAGTGATCACACAACTAAAAAATTGCTCTCTTCATAATGAGAACTGAGTATTAAGAGATGAAACTACAAAGAAACAGATAAAATCTAAGGCCATGAATCTCTATTTTCTTCAATTCAGCGAGACATCTTTTCTGAAAAACTGGAGAACCACCAGGAAGTCTTTCAATTAGAGATATTAGAATTATAAATTAAGAAAAAATTACTGCCTTATTTACAGGCTGTTTTTCTCATCAGACTACTGTTGTTGTTACCACAAATTTCCCAATTACCAAAAGCACCATCACATGGTGAAACCTGAGACCTTATTTATTTATATTTACAACACTATTATTGAAAACTACTTTGCAAATATTAAATAATCATCTTAAAGACAGCACTCCAAAGGTTTTTGATATATTAAAACTCTCTTTACGCATTTTTTTTAAACTATTTTCCAAGAAACAATCACTGTGGCAAAGTTTGGTGCCGATTCCTCTAGCTTCTTGAGAAGGATCATGTTTGTTTCTAAGCAATTAAATCTATTGTTTGGTGAAAACAGCTCGATTTCATAAACTCTGGAAAAATATTATTAAAAAAACAATTTTGACCTCTTCATACAAATACCTCATTTACTACGCTGAACTTTAAATGATCCAAGTTTGTAATGATTCTGTCTCTACTGAAGTGTGTACCAAAAAAAAAAAAACTGTCAAAAAAAATTTTAAAGACTGTCCTTCAATTTCACACATAATGCAGAATCGTACTTTGCTGACAATCTGACAATGAAGTCTAGTAACTTTTCCCTAAATCCTACTCCGAAAGAGCCTTGGGGACCGAAGACCAGCAGGTGCTGCTATGACGCGACCGATCAAATGAGTTTAGGAGCAGGACAAAACCAAACCGAGTGCGGGGCTGCTAGGATCCCAATCTTCTCCTGTTTTTACACATGCATATATATACCTATATAAACACACACAGCGAAGGCTGGGACGTCTCCGTCCCTGCTCACACTCCAGACAGTGCGGTCCTTTCCGGACGCGCACTTTCCATGCGTTCCCCTTGTGAGCGACCACTTCTCCTTAGTCCCGAGACAGTTCTCCATCTGCCTCTCTCCCTCATCTCTGCTCCTTCAGACGGGTCTACTCCAGACGCCACTCAGTCCCGTAGGGCTTTTAACTCGACTCCGGGTCAGAGACTGGGAGAGGACGTCGCGCGCTCTAGCCGAGCCACGTGGAGGGCGCGCACCAGTAACACAACCACAGTGGGTCAGAAAAGTGCGGCCCGGCCCCTTCGGCCCTGCTACCCTACTCTGTGCGCCAGCCCCTCCCCGAACCCTTCCCCGCGCCTTCCAGCGGAGTTCTTGCCTGGTTAGGGTCGGTGGCGCGGAAAACGTGGCAGGCCATCTGCGACTCTGGGTCGTCGGGCTGCGCCTTGATCAGGTAGGCGAAGTAGGTGAGGTCGTGGCTGTTGTGGATGAAGCGCGAGATGTGCTGCGCCTTGTGCTCAAAGATGAACACGGACGGGTTTGGCTGCGCGATGTTGGGGCTGGAGCCCCCTGCGCCCGGCACCGGGACGCAGCGCAGGAAGGGCGCGCTCAGCACCAGGAGCACCTCGCGGGCCGGCGGCGCGCAGCAGCCGCCCGCCTCTGGCTTCTGGCTGCGCCGGCGGATCTCGGCCATGAGCCAGGGCAACATGGGCAGCGTGGTCCTGCGGTCCAGGCATGAACCCCCCACGTACCACAGCCGGAACCGCTTCTCGCCGGGCTTCCCCAGGGCTGACATAGAAGGGGCGCCCGACTCGGGTTCCAGAGGGTGCGGAAACGGCTCATCCTGAATGCAGCTGGGGTTTTCCATAACTTGTGCCTAAGGAGGGCACGGAGGCGGCTGGTCCGGAGCGCCGCGCCCCCAACTCCTGCGCTGAAGGCTCCGCCGAAACTGTGCCAACTCCCACACGCGGCTCCCGCGACCCCAAACTCCACGACTGTAGGCTAGGGCTCTGCCCCAGGCAGCACTTTCCCGAACGCTGGTCAGTGGTTCCTGCAGCCAGCACGGAGGCGAATGCCCAGCAGCCAGGCTTGAAGGGCAGGGCGGGTTAAATCTGCATCCTCTGTTCTCTAGCTCGTGCCTCGGGACCGGACTTCCCTTTTCTTCGCCGCGGGTCTGTCCGCTCAGAGCACAACGCCGAGGGCCCCACGCCACCGCCTCCCGCCGCTGCTGGTCGCCGCCTCCTCCAGCGCTGCAGATCCGCTGCGGCCGCCGCTCTAGCCTCGGGCATGCACTGGGAGGCTGGGCGGGGAATGGGCTGTGGGCGGGAGGGGGTGATTCTGGGCGGAGCTGACTCCTACCGGGGTGACCGGCTGTCACCTGGAAGGTCGGTGCAGCCGAGCTGCGGCGCGGTCAGTCCTCAGCAAGGGCTTGCGAAAACTATCCGGATGGAAAATAACAAAAACAAAACGTGGCCTCGCGAAGGCCGCTCCTCCTACCGCCGCAGCCCAGCTCGCTGCTCCTCCTACTGTTCTCGTCCCTCCCTCGCTCCTTCCTTCCAGGCTGCTGTTTTAATCCGGCTCCTACCCCGCCTCCTGTCTGGCGGGCTGTTAACAACGCCTACAAAAGCATAACTGTGAAATCGCCTTTCCGCCTCTAACTCCGACCCCCGCCCCAGCCCGCCCCTCCACTGCACCCTTGGAACAGCATCTCTGCTCTTGGCGCGGGCACTGCCTACGCCAACTCGGCCTCTCCGGGATTGCCTAGCTTTCGGTCATCTCCTGGCGTCTCTGCTTCCCCCTGTGGAAAGGGTCGCTCCCAGTGAGGCGCTGGAATTTTTTTAAAAAATAATATTTGCTCGGCTTCAGTTCCTTCTAAATCCTGCGTATTGGTTTCTGCCCTGGTGACGCAGTGGCCAAAGCGCTCGGCAGCAAGCCAAAAGGTCGGCGGTTGGAATGCACCAGTAGTTCCGTGGCAGAAAGATGTGGCAGTCGGCTTCTGTAAAAATTTACAGCCTTGGAAACCCCATGAGGCAGTTCTACTCTGTCCTACAGAGTCACTCAGTCAATCAACTGGACCACAGTGGGCACTGATTTCTGAATCCCCTTTCTAAATAGTCACAACATTGGTGTTTTAAATAAGATATTAATATCAAATATTTTTAATTCCAATGTTCACTTTAAAATATAACATTGTATGTATGACAAATCTTCCCAGTCTGTAATGCAGCCAACTTCTGAAAATATGGAGAAATTATACTTATTATATATACACTTCCTGTTTCCAAGAAGTGTTTGAAGCTGTTTACAGATATACGTACATATAAAATCAAACCAAATTCACTGCCATCAAGTGGATTCTGACTCATAGCGACCCCTACTGGATTTCCGAGGCGGTAAATCTTCACAGAAGTAGATTGTCCCATCTTCTTTCCGCAGGAGGGGCTGGTGGGTTTGAACTGGCAACCTTCTGGTTAGCAGTCAAATGCCTTAGGTACTATGCCACCTGAGCACGTTAAACATACATATGTTGTTGTTGTTGTTATGTGCCGTCGAGTCAGCCCCGACTCATAGCAACCCCTCCTCGGGTTTCCGAGGCAGTATCACTACGGAAGTAGGATTGCCCAACTTTCCTTCCGAGGAGTGGCTGGTGGGTTTGAACCGCCAGCCTTCTGGTTAGCAGTCAAGTGCTTTAGCCACTATGCTACCAGAGCTCCCAAACATACATATAAGAAGATATAAAATAAGAGAGGCAATGGAAGGAGGAAAGGATAGGAAAATTCAAAGTAGAGACAATATCCTACTCAAAACATACACCATAGTTTTCTAGAGGTAGCAACAAAGATTCAGAGATAGTATAGAGATTTCTCACAGTTTTATATGTAGCGATACATGTTTCCAAAAAACTAAAAAAGAAAAATCAGGAATCAATTGATCATTCTAATTTTAAAACAGAAAATGGAGAAGTATTCTTTTTTTCCCATTTTAGCAAATCTGACTCTCATTGTTACGTGCTGTCCAGTAGATTCCAACTCATAGTGACCCTATGGGACAGAGTAAGACTGCCTCATAGGGTTTCCTAGGCTGTCATCTTTATGGGAGCAGATTGTCAGGTCTTTTCTCCTGCAGAGCTGCTGGTGGATTCAAACTGCCCACCTTTCAGTTAGCAGCAGAGAGCTTAATGACTGCACCGCCAGGGTTCCTTATTAGTTTCTAAGGGCTGCTGCAGTAACAAATTACCACAAACTGGGTGGCTTAAAACAACCAACATTTATTTTCGCAACAGGAATTTATGCTCTCACAGTTTTGGATACCAGAAGTCTAAAATCAATTATCGGCAAGGTGGGCTCCTTCTGGAGGTTCTGAGGGAGAATCTGTTCCCTGCGTCTCTCAGCTTCTGGTGGTGACTGGCAATCCTTGGTATTGCTTGTCTTGCAGCCACATCATTTCAATCTCTGCCTCCCTGTGTATCTCTGTACCTCTTCACACATCCTTCTTATAAGGACACTGGTCACTGGGTTTAGGGGCCACCCTAAACCAATATGATCTTGTCTTGATTACATCCTCCATGACTCTATTTCCAAATAAGGTCACATTCACAGTACCAGGGGTTAGGAGTTAACCATATCTTTTGAGAAGACACAGTTCAACCCACAACAGTCATTCTCTGTACTCTCGCTGAATTATAATTAAGAATTGGATAAGAAGTAAATGCAAATAGGAAAGACACTAAAAGTTCCTGACTTTCCCTAAGGGGCTTAGAGGAAGAATGAAAACCCAATTGCTTCCCAATTGTTTTTAGTTTAGTGTTGTTGTTATGTGCCGTGGAGTTAGTTTAGTGGTGATCTCATTTTCTATAAAGCTATAGAACTATATTCTCCTTTTTATGTAAAATCAATACAGTCAACTGCCATTTATTCCTGTGCTCAGTTTCTGGGTGCATTCTAATGGCTGTCATAATTGTCTACGGTCCAAGAAAGAGATATGATAATTGCTTAGGTAAGTCATGTGGCTTAACCATTCCACTGAACTTTAGTGTAAAATAGACCTATGCCTTTGAAAAGCAATGGGAAGTGCTTAGAACACCAACTGAAACTTATCAGAAACTCTCCTGAACAGATTCCCTTTTCCTAGGTCACAAATTGGAGACCCATAAGAGAGAAACAAAAGAACAAACAAAGATATGAAAAGTATGGAAGTCTTATGAGTTCTACTGAATCAACCAGCTTGGGAGCTAGGAGTGGATTGGCAGCCCCAGAAGCCCAGGTGTTACTGGTGTAAGAACAAACAGCAAACAACAAACTTTCACCCATTGGCAGATAATCAGGAGAGGTATCTTTTATCCTATGGCATCCTAAGTTGTGATTGCTTCCTGCTGTGGAAGCCTCTTAGCCCTTTCTTTGTAACATTATTATGATGTTTATCTTACTATACATTGATTAGCTTTATTACTGTTTACCAGTATCTGGTCCTTTCTTCATCCTGACACACAGAAAGATAGTTCTTTACCCCCTTGAACTTAAACATGGTAATGGTTAATGAGACTTGTTTTAGCAGTGAAATGTAAGCAGAAGTGACTTGAGTAACATCTAAATAGATCATTTAATTGCCATTAGCCCATGCTTGGTCCACTTTTCCTCTCCAGTGATCATCCTGTCCATTTGGAGGCACCTGCCTTATAATCAGAGCTGTCCAGAATGCTAAGCCAACACATGTAAGACAGCTAGCTGCCTAGAAGATTTCCCAGACACACAGAAGATTTCCTATGAGTGAGAAGTAAAGTTTTGTTCTCTTAAGCCACTGAGGTTGTGAAGTTGTTTGTTACCTCATTGTTAATCTATACTATGCTGTCCAATGGGAGCTCTGGTAGCATAGTGCCTAAGGCACTTGACTGCTAACCAGAAGGCTGGCGGATCAAACCCACCAGCCACTCCTCAGAAGGAAGGTTGGGCAATCTACTTCCGTAGTGATACCGCCTCAGAAACCCAAGTAGGGGTCTCTATGAGTCAGGGCTGACTCCATGGCACTAAACAACAAAAACAACATGCTGTCCGATAAAACCTTTAGACTATAACCAGTTGCCCTTGAGTTGATTCCAACTCATGGTGACCCTACGTGTGTCAGAATAGAAATGTGTTCTGTTAGGTGTGTTAGGCTGGGTTCTCTAGAGAAACAAAACCAATAAAGCTTATATAGAGACAGAGAAAAAAAAATTATCTTAGGAAAATGGCTCACACACTTATAGAAGTTGGCAAGTCCCAAGTTCTTGGATCAAACGTCAAGCTGGAGGCTTTTGCCAACTCACACAGCTGTAGGGGCTGACGAACTCAAGGTTGGAAGGCAGTACACTGGCTGTTGATGCCAATGAATGATGAATCCAAGATCACCAGGCCAAATGGTGGATTGTTTGTTCATGGACAGTTGTAAGCAGAACAACAGGATCCCAATCCACAGAAGAGTGTCTCTTTTCCCAGGATGTCCATAAATATATTGGAAGCAGGCTACACCCCTAGAGAAACTCACTTTCAACAGATTGGCTGCTTAAAACATATACATCTGATCTTATCATGGGAATAACCCACACTGCAACTGCTTAAACCACTCAGAATTGTGGTCCAGCCAAGTTGACACACAACTCCAACTATCACAGTAGGGTTTCCAATGGCTAATTTTTCAAAAATAGATTACTAGACCTTTCTTTCAAGGTGCCTCTGGGTGAACTAGAACCTCCAACCTTTTAATAAGCAGCCAGGCAAATTAACTGTTCGCACTACCAGTGACTTCTATTATACTATGGTATATAACATGTTATGTTTTATGTAACTTGTTTTGTAATCATTTATGCACTTTACTTACTACATACATGAACTA